TCTCTCTCTCTCTCTCTCTCTCTCTCTCTCTCTCTCTCTCTCTCTCTCTCTCTCTCTCTCTCTCTCTCCTTCGTTGTTGTCTTTTGTGCAGGTACGCGTCACCTTCTTCCGCGGCGGAGCTATGGTGGACTTCTTCTTCACGGTGGCATTCTTCAACTATGGCGCCCTACGGCGCGCGTCTCTCTCCTGCTACAACGGTGAGGGGGCATGGGATAGCCGGTACCAGTTCCGATACCAGCGCAATCAGACTCGCTTCCATTCCACTTCACATGCATGCTAATAGATTGCGCAGCAAACTCGCGACAAGCGCCCACTCAAACTCAGAGATATGGTAACCCAGAACACAGTTCAGATACAATCTCACTTCAGATAGCTATGGCGCATCAGCGCCTATACAAATCTTTGTCCGTCATTCACACAACCCTGCTGTTCACACACCGGATCACCCTGGATATCCCACACGCAACACTCTATACACTCGCACACACCCGCACATACCTACAGCTATGGCGGCTATGGCCGCTGCTACCCTATCGCTATGGCTAACTTCCTTCTCACCCACTTTGTCCTCGGGCTCACTGCAGACCACCTCGCACAAGTCGCTGTGGCAGCGCTTCCACATGGCTCACGCAAGAATGAATGAACGGTTGGGTGCTGCCTCTTGATTTATACTTCTGTAACTCGCTGGTCTGCCCTTTTCCATCGGCCCATGGTGCACACAGTCCCTCATGGTACTTGCTGGACTGGACTGGGACTGACTGGACCGGTACAGCTGACTGCATGGGTTTGCATCGTAGACTCACTGCAGTCGCACTGCCGACGTACTGAGGTTTGCTCCACCACTTGCCCACTTGCCTCTGCCTAAACGTGAGCCTACTCCAAAAGGCCACTTCCGGGATCTTCCGGGACCTTCCGGAAGTCTGCATTTGCTACTGCTAGCAGGTGAAAACCGTTTCACCGGGAAGGAAAGTGCAGTTTGAGTGCTCTTCCTGCTTTTCCCTCCCACCCAACCCTTTGTCTGCATTCCCGCGTCAGCAGCAGTGCCACATCAGTAGAAGTGCCACGCCAACAGTGCCACATCAGTAGCAGTGCCACGTCAGCAACAGTGCCATGACAACAGCAGTACGTCAGCAGTGCGTCGCCGGTTTCAACTTTGGGCATGCCAGGCCAATTGGCCAACGAGTCCATTGTCGAGTACCAACAGTGGTTCCAAGCTCAGCTCGCACTGATCGAGGATGAGGAACAACGTCAGGCGGCAGCAGCTGAAAAATAGTGGCTTCAGGCCGCAGCGGACACAGATGCCCAGGCCCGCCGCAAGGAGGCCCAGGATCCGCTGCAGCGGCACGAAGCCACCAGTGTCGACAAGCTCAAGTTCTGGCACTTTGAACCATCCGAGAGCCACGACGGCGCAACACCGAAAGAGCAGCACAAGGAGTTCCTCTCCAAACTCGTGACCCGGTTGGTTTACACTTGTAACCACTTGCAGTCCCAGTTAGAGAAACAGCACCTGGAACTTACGGATCTCCGACGGGCAGTGCAGAACCACAAGGATCTGCACGAGGATGCTACACGGGCACTTCATTCCCGTGTACAGAACTTGGAGCAAGCAGCACCAGAAACTGATGTTGGCAAACCCAGCAATGCAGCCTCAACCCGCCAGTTGGAGCAACGAGTTGACCATATAGTCAAAATGCTCGGCGACATCAGCACATTCGTCGCACCCGCCACCATCAGCGAACAGCTAGACGCCTTGAAGAACAAGGTTCGGCATCTGCAGCAACCCTTCAACGATGGCCGCACCAGTGTGCAGAAGTACAAGATGTCAACGTTCCGAATCGAAAAGTTTGATGACTATACGCATCCAGACCCGGTTCCCTGGCGGCAGGGCTTTACGACGAAACTTCGAATGCGTCACGTCCCCGAGCACTCGTACATCGCGACGCTATTCCTCAACTCAAATGGTGGATGCCAAATCTAGCTCAGCCACCTGGCAGCCATCCTGGACGTCCAGGTCACCGATCTGCACAAGAAGATCCCTTGGGAAGATCTGACGAGGCTATGGAAGAAGCGTTTCATCGTTGACGACGCCCCGGCGCTTGCCATCAACCGCCTCTTCGCCATGACTCAAGGCAACACACCGACGCGAGATTGGCTTATAGAATGGCAAAAGATCGTTGCAACACCCGATCTCGAATTTCCATTTTCACATCTGCGCCGGGAGTTCTACAACCGGTCATGTGTCGCCTTGAGCCTCGCACTCGGTGATCGAGAACAGTACACGACCTTCGCCGACATCATCGACAAGGCCTGAGAGATCATCAAGACCAACCAGGCTGCTGCACACGAGAAATCAGCGTGGCAACCAGCCTATGTGGAGAAGGGAAAATTTGGTCCGCGTCCGCAGCCCGTCGCTGCAGTCCAACCGGACAACATTGTGGAAGACCCGGCAGCCACCCCAGCATCACATGAGGGAGATCAGGTGGTCGATGTCCAGTCGCGAAGCAACAACAACTCCCGTGGAAAAGGGAAGGCGAAAACCGCATCGCCGACCGGAAACGGACAGCCAGAACCATGGGTCAACTTCAACTTGACCGAGGCCGAATACAAGTACCGCACCTGATATGGCTGTTGCTATTGGTGCAACAGCACAAAGCACAAGACCTCCCAATGCCAAGATCAAGGCAAGGAGGATGTTCAACCTCGAATCAGCTCGGGAAACTGAGCTGCGCGGGAGGTGAGGCGACTCCACCTCTCACTCTGCCAGATTCGACCGCCTTGCTAGCGGCCTCCTACTCATCTGGCGAGAATGCGGATGTCGCGATGTCGGGCGGCCGCAACCCAGTCGGCCACCCGAAATACCCGGGATTGGGCCTCGGGATAAGTGTCTATGGGAGAATCAGCCGGCACTTTCAACTGAGTCGTCGGAAGAAATTAGGGGTCGGGAAGGTATCCCTAAAATTTCCCCCGTCAATTGTTAAAACTGACCCTTGAAATCAACACAACGAACAGTCACGCCTACCGTGCCTAGAGCCTACTATATTTCGTTCGATCCAACTCTGCTCGTGATGCGGCTGGCCGCGGAGCCGGGTTGTGGTGCTAGGGCTCGGCGCACCCCTTTTACACTAGGCGATTGACGAGGGAGTGAACCCTCAATTTTTACCAATTTTAAACAATAAAATTAAAATTGAGGAAAAGAATTTAAAATAATAAAAAGGAAGAAAACAAATAAAAAAATGTTATTTAATTGACTTTCCTCATAATTTATTTTTGGAGAAATTGTCTTCACTTTTCATTTCATCAATTTTAATAGCAGTATTAAAAAATTAGGCAAAGAATTAAAATGATGAAAAGGGAAGAGAACACGAATATTTGTTATTTAATTGAATTTATTCAGGATTCGTCATTGATGGAATTGTCCTTAATCATCATTGACTTTGATAATGGAATTAAAAACGAGTAAAAGAATTAATAATAATAAAAGAAGAGCAAACTGATGATTATTTATTATTTGATTAATTTTTGACGGAATTTATTTCTGATGGATTCTGCTGGACATTATCGATTTATCCTTGATTCTCCGATTCATATGGGTTCCCGTTGATTATAGATCGCGGCTTGACTTTACCGATCCGTCTGATTGCTACGCTTGGTATGACCCCGCTGTTGACTGTTTTTTGGTTTACGGCGACATGGTTGATATGGGGCGGTCACCGGCACAACACTATTACTCTGGTACAGTTACCGGTTCGGAATTGGTATGGTACTATCATTGGGACAGCATCAGTACGGGCTACTTCGATTCACTGTTGAGACGACCGTGATGGCCGCTAGTTCGGAG